TAAATTCTAATTAAGCAAGATTACTTAAATCATAGAATTCTCCTTTTGTTTCATTCAAGTAAAATTTATCAACATAATAAGGTATAAATCTTTTAGCTGCTATAAATTAATTTTATTTAACGGTATTTCTTTATCATAAACATCTGTACATGATAAATTAGCAATTAAATTAACACATTTCTAAGCTAAATAAATTCTTATACTCATGTTTTTTTTAATATTAGGATTTTTGATCCATCTATTTCCTCCTTTAATTTCAACTTGCAATCCTTAATTAAGTAGAGTGAAATAACTGTATCATTGAATGGTATATGTTAAGTTGCTCAAATAGAGTGGCACAAATTAAACTTCAGAATATTTAACACATTCGTGTATGATAACATTTTAAAGGAGATTTGATTCAACATCTCCTTTGGTGACCTTTTTGAAAATCCATTTATAATATATTATTGATGTTATGATTTCAGCTATTTCAGAGATGCAAATTTAATGAATAATAATAGCAACCAATTTTTTCTTTAATTTGTATAATACACATTTGAGAGCTAACTTTTCTATTGATACATAAACAGGAATTCATAAGTTGTTGTTTAGATTGTGTAATTGGACCTGAATTATGTTTTCAAGAAGTTAGTTAATGTATATTTAAGTACATAAAGAATACCCTAATAAAAGCATAGGCGCAAATTCAAATGTATTATTCTTACAATATTTGCAGCATAGAACAATACTTGAATTCTTCCTCTAACACTTGAGTTATCTAGTTCAACAGAAACAATTGACCATGATTCAGATATCAAGATAATGTTGTTTATCTACACAACTCTTCATCCACAATCTTGCTGATTGATTCTACGACATCTTGAAGGCCACCTATTTATTAATGAACTTGAAGCAGCAATAGGGCATTCAATAATATTGTCTAGATATATGATTTCCACCTCCTTCGCTAGTTTTATCAGTCTCTTATCTTATTGCAAAAAATTGTATACATCATGTCATATATTTTCTGGAGTGAAACTACATAATTAAAAGCAAATCCATAATTCCAGAAATAAAATCTGCATAAGCTACTTTTCAAGTACCTGTGAATTTATAAATAGGGCTTTCAATTACGAAGTTTCATTGTTATTTAATGATAACGCTTGAGCAAATAATTCTCAATTCACTTTCATTGGGATTTTCTATTTGTGATTCAATTTTCAATATACATTTTAATTTCACAAATTTAAAAGTATTGAAACTAAACAACAGTTGCTGAGGTTGTTCATTAAATAAATTATCATACATTCTGGAAGGTAAAATATAATTTCTTTGTAAAAAATCGTACACCTTGTTCAATTTCTCCTTGATTATCATGTGCAGTTGATTAACAAATTAACAATTTTTAGATAGGAGGCATGATTTCAACCTAGCACAAATATCATTATTACTATTTATGCTTTTACATGCACAATTAATTTCAACTATTTCTGAATAGGATAAACTGTATATTGCAAGCATATCATTTCCTGTGATCACCAAATACAACTAAGATATATGATCAATTACACCAATATTTAGGCTGATTATTGCAATCAGCTGCAATCTTATTTGGCTTTGTTTTTTTGATAACTTACTATTTAAAAGGTCAAAAATAAACACTAATATATGAAATTGATACATATCTCAGGATTTATAATAGGATTATGCTCAAATAAACTTCTTAAAACAGAAAATATAGATGAAGGACAAAACAACTTCAATAGCCAAAAAATTCTCTTGGCCAATAAAATGGAAATGATGGATATGAATTAATTCGAATTAATATTATTGTATCAAATCGCTATAATATAATTCTATTTTATTTGAAAATTATCAAAAATTATGCATACTTTGATAAAGTTGAGTACAAATGCAATTTAAAAGAAGCACCATTGAATTTTTGTAAATATCGACTTAAATTATCTTCAGACTTATCAGTTGTCAAAGTGGTTATTATTTAAATTATAATTTTTCTTGCATCTCATCTTGTGATAATGGAATACTTGCACATGATGAACAGTGCGAAATTAATAATCAAAATTGTTTAAGTTGCATATTTGATGTTCCAAAATTATGTAAATTATATTTAGAAGATCATTGTTATGAATGTGAAAATGGATATTATATTAATTATTATACAAATACTTGTGAATCTAAGTGTGGAGATGGAATAATAGTTCATAATGAAGATTGTGAAGATAATAATTATATCGAATTTGATGGTTATTATTATTGTAAATATTTTTGTAGCTAATATTGTTTATATTGCATAAATGGAGTATGTTAAGAATGGAACTAAAATTATTAACTTTGGGATGCATTTTGTTATATTAAAGAGAATTAAATTGATGACTTCCATGAATGCGAATTAAGGTGTTTGTATTTCTGAAAGTTTGGAAAGTTGTATTCAATGTCATAATGGTTCATTATTTTTAATGTGCATAACAATATGCGCTTTATGAGAATAAATGCATTTAAATTAATTAGTTTTAAAAAGATTTGTACTTTAATTAAGAGTGATAAATTTGTGAAGCCTCATGTGGTGATGATATATTAATGGATGGTGAGAATGTGATGATTAAAATATGTGTAAATTTGAGGTGACGTTAATTGCATTGAGTAGATTTGTGGTGAGAGTTTAATTTAATTAAATAAATATGCTATGCAAAAAGTTAAGAGATTTGTGTAAATTGAGTTTAAGGAGGACGTTAAATATGTAGCAGCGGGTATTTTTTGGATTTATATTTATATTGTATCAAAATAACCTGTAGTTATACTTCTGAATGTGGAGGTATTACAATTACGATTGAGGATCTTGAGTAGTGTGATGATTAGAATCTAAGAATGATAATAGTTGTAATAATTAATTTGAATAAACTTGCGATTTTAATTGTATAAGATGTGTGGATGGTGTTTTTTAAGAGTTTAAAAAAGGATGGAGATTAGGTTTATTCTTTTAAGAATCAATTTGTGGGAGATTAAATTCTATTTGGAAATGAAGAATACGATGATGGTAATTAAATAACTTCTGATGGATGCTTTTAATGCCCTCAATATTGTGAAATATTTTTTAATGGAATATGTTAATCCTGTTAAATTAATTATGAATTAGATTAATTAAATAATTAATGTAAATCAATACAAGCTTTATTTACAATATATCATTATTGTTTAATAACTAATATATTCTTTGTTATGCTGGATATTCAGAATTGTTCAAGTTAAGCAAAGGTTAGTGGAACAACTTGTGATAAAATTGGAAGTTGTTTGCCATTCACACCAATTTATCTAAATAACAATAATGGTTTAGAAGCATGTAAATTAAAATTTTGTACTGATATTAGTTTTTTAACATTTAATTATCAATCCTCTTAATTATAATTTATAGATTATACTCACAAATTTTCATTTTATTGAAAGTGAATAAAAGAGTTGATATAATCAAAATTTCTAAGTTAGTTTATTAAATAATTTTAATTTTTAAAGTTGACTATCTAATTATTCTCATGCTGGATCATCTAGAATATGTATTCTGAAATCATGGATCCAATATTACAGTATTTAATAATAGAAACTGCTAAATTTGGTGGATTACTTGTGTTGCTAACTCTTATAGAATTACGTTTATCAAAATACATAAAGAAATATTAATTAATTATTATAATTGTATTAGTACTAATGCTTCCTTAATTTGATTATAAACATTAATATTGTGAAAATTAATTATCTCGTTGTACATATTTAGTATCATAGTCAAAAATCGATGTTTAAATAATAGCATATTATAATCATGTCTTATTGTGATGCCAATTCTTCTAATTCAGGATGAATTGAAAATAAAATATGCTCTAATATAGTAGTTAATTCATATTATAATTAATTTCTTACAATGTTTAATATTATGAATTAATTCATAAAAATTTAGACTTTCATTTTCATTAAGAAAATTTCTTTTATTTTCCCCATTAATCTTTTTAAATTAAACAATTAATCTATATGTTCTAATTTGGGTTTGCTACTTCATTTAAATTTATTTGCAATTTTAATAGATTTTTAATTTATTTTTCCAAATGGTAGAATTTTCTATTGAATTCATGAAATAAAATCGATACCTTGTCTTACATACACAGTAAACAAGAATTTACAATGCTATTAAAGTAGTCTTTTTATAAAATTACTTTAATCTCATCCATTTGTTAAAATATTCCCTACCTGATTTAATATCATCTAATTTTATTTCTCCAAAATTTATTATTTATTATTGAAATCTATATAATTCACTAAATGACTCTTCCTTTTATCTCAAGAAGCAAAATGTAATAATTTTCAAATCATCATTTTCAAAAAATCCTTCAACAATTGAAATATTCAATGAGTAGTTTTTTATGGATTTTTTTGATGTTTACTCTTAATTTAATTAGATTACAAAATATAATCTTCCAATAAATATTATTCTACAAAATATTTTATAAAGAGTTCGAATTTTAATAATTCACAATAATTTATTCTTTCTTTTAAATAACGTCATCTAATTTAATTATTGTTAAATAAATTAACAATTTACAATTTAAAATCAACTGAAATGTCATCCATTTGCAATTATTAAATTGCCATAACTTTATTGTAATCATTTTACATGATAAATAAACAAGTTTGGTAGTATAGTTACAGTGAAAAATCATCTTATTATCTCACAAAAAAGGCAAGAACTTTGACATTTGGCTTAGCATTAGATATCATCGAATCTCCACTAATTGTTATACATAATTTTTGATCAGTAAGATTGTATCCAATATCACATATTTGGCATCTTTATATAACTAATGCAAATAAATGATGATTAACATTAAATTAACAAGAGTTATTGGAATTAACATTATTTATAATATATAAAGCTTGAATTATAAAAATAAAAATGTTAATAAAGTATAGTGCAGCCATCACATTGCTCTAAATCGAATCCAGTAGGATCTGAAACAACTATACCATCTCTATATATTTCAATCATCACAATATTCTCTTTAACCTATTATTTAATCTCCAAGTTTTTCCTTACATAATCAAGGAGTAATAGTTGAATCAAATACCTTTTTGGTGTTGTACATTCAAAATATTGTTCTTTTATATATTTGTACATTAAGATGAACGTTAATATTTAAGATTAAATTATACAACATATTGAATAGTATTTCTAATTCGCATCCTGTTATTAATGAATGGGTTGATATTCTCCAGATAGTAATAGAAATCAAAAATTACAAGAATTATAATTAATAGTATGAAATATTTATTAATTATTATACATGTTTTATAACATAGACTTAGAGTCTTTAAAATATCCAAATTTACTTTAAGTGTATCAAGAATCATTTAAAATTTAACTTATTTCCATACAAAAAGACCTCCAAAAATCTCATTCCTAATTAATTTGAATTTTAATTAATATTAAATTTTATATATCTTTTTTCCATTTTGAGATGATCATATCTAAGTAATTTTAAGTTAGAATGTTCGCTTATATTTTTTCTAGTCCTTCATTCTTAAAAAACAAACCATATAATTCATTAAAATTTAATAGTTTTCGAAATTTCCTAATCTTGAATGTGCTTAATTAAATTTGGTTTTGGAATTTAAAAATATAATATTTTTTTGAAAAATTGCTCAGAATTGTCAAATATAAATTTTTTTTTCTTAAAAAAATAAACTCATATAAAATAGCGTATTATTGTCAATTGACTCTTTTGGACTGCATAGCCTTCTGATTATTTGTTAAAGATACTATCATCATAAACATAGAAATATATTTAATTAATTAAATTTTCTGATTTCTTCACTATTAAGAGGTGCATATCAGTGATGAGTTTAATTAAAATCTATTATTTAAGGTCTATTTTAGTAGTTTTCAAGATACTTACAAAGGAGAATATAAGAAATGACGAAAAATTGGTGTATGCAATGTTTATATTGAATTATAATATCTGTACTAAAATGATATTTTAAATAGTGGTTTTGGCTCATAAAAATAGGAAGACATAAAAATTGGAAAATGGGTAGATACTGATTATATGTTTGATAGATACATATTAAATATTATTTTTCACAGACAACTATATGTAGTTTTTATGGAGAATATAAAAATAATAAAAAATTACGATGCGGGTTATCCGACATAAATATTAGAATAATCTTTGGTAAAAATGTGGACTATACAATGAAAAAGGTTAGAAAAGTGGAGAATGAATAGATTTATTGAAGATTTTTCAAACTTTAATAAATTTAATTTGAAATTTCTCTATAAAAATGGGATAAAGATAAGAAAGTGAAAAGAAAAAATGTAATTTTAAATTTGTTTTAATTTAATATTAATAGTTAATTAGTTATCTGAAAATCTTGTGTTGTTTTTCTAAAAATATGATAATTTATCATGCTAAATATTTATGATCATCTATGACTTAGAGATAATGAGAAGAATGACTGGATACATTCATTGGAACATTGTGTTTTTTTAAACAAATTATCTCTTATTTTTGTTCTTCTAATAATTATTACATGTTAATTCTCCAATTCCTATATTCTATATTTTTTCTTTATTTTAATCAATTTTCTCTGGTAAGTATAAATCTCTCCAAGGTTTTAATTTGTTTTTTTCAACTATCTTTAATTCTGCTTCATCAATTATTTCTTCAAAGTGTAAAGTGAGGAATAAGAATTTATTAAGATTTTATTCATTCCTAAATAGTAATTTTACATATCTCTTAATTAATAACCATTTTAGCATTATGTTTATAAAGTTTACTTTGAAACTATCACTCTACATTATTAATTGCATCACATTAATTGAAATTCAAAATAATCTATAGAAATATTGGCATAAGCAATCTGAATTGCTAATAATTGTATTCTTATTTAACCAAAACTCAAATTAATTTTGTATAATTATTCAAAATTTCTTTATTTATTCAAATCCTTTATTTGAATATTTAATTTTGCAATAAGAATCACATTCATCTCCATCAATAAGATTTCCACATCATATTATTCATTTTAAACTTTAATTTAATCTACACAAATTGGTTAACAGATTTTTCTTAAACCGTTGAAAAAATAGCCTAATTCAGATTCACATCTACAACATTGCCATTCTCATTTTATTAAAATCTGCAACTGAAACAATTATTAGGTTGATCAATACATTCAAAGTAGTTTTTTGGACATTAGACATTTTCAACAATTTGCTTGCCATAAGAATTATATAGATGGTTCTGTTATTTCAACAAAACAAGAGTAATTTAGGTCATATAATCACATAATGAACAGAAAGTTTTATTCTAAAATTATCCATCTGCAAGTTTACATTAACTATCCATATTTAATAATAAATTTGGAAGTTAAATCTATTATTAACAATTTTATAGACTTGAACATTTTATATCATTTTTAAATAGAATCCTTTCTTATATTTTTCACAATTTCCGTTCTCTGGCAATCAATACAATATTGATCAAAACAAACAGCCCCTATCTGTACAAATCCTTGATATTTTTGATTAATTTAAATATACTCATAACTAGAATGCAATTTGAGGTATTCACTGGCTCCTTGTTTCTTTGCAATAGTTTTCACATTCTAAATCAAAAATGATGTAGGGGTGATCGGTTGCAACTTAAGAGGAATTTAGAGTAGACAACTTGAAGAGGTAGATTTGTAATGTCATTTAGAATAGGTTTCTCATGGAAAATATAAGACTATGGTTACATTAGATTAAAATATTAATTAAATAACTCCAATTATTAGATCTATGAATATTAGAAATCAGCTAAAATAGATTTCTTACTCAATTCCAAACTATCACTAGAAGTTAAAAAATAGGAAAAATTTGTAATAACCAAATTATACCGAAGTCAAGTGTCAAACTTCTCATTTATGTTCCTACCAAGTTCAAACTAAGTATAGTGTACGAATCATTTTGCCTTTTTTTTTGGCTTATTTGAAAACGAATCGATAATATTAATTTTATTTTTTGTATTTAAATTCTCATTACTAAATGAAAAAAAAATTATTATTTAACTTTGATTTGATTAAGCAATTGATATCTTGGAGTTCTTTAAATTAATTTTAGTAATTATTTTTGTTTATTAATTTGTATAATTTGTGTATTAAATGAATTTTTGTTATTGACATACTTATATTGAAAAAAAAAATTTATAATTAAGATAAATGTCAACCCTTTTTTGAAAAACCAAAATTGAAAATTGTGGCATTAATTTTTTGCAAAATTAAGTCATAATTAAGGAAAGATTGTAATAGAAATAAATTGAGTTTTTAAGAAAAACATACCAAAATATTAAGAAAATTTTCTTTCATATCTCATAATTAGAATAGCAGTAATTACAATTAAGACTGATTCATGAATAAATTTGTAGTTTTTCAGGAACTAGTTCTCATCAAATTGTGAATAGAGGGTAGGAGTACTTAAGCTAGCTTTCACTTATATATGAATAACAGTCCAATTTATAGAATAACTTGCATTTTTGGAAGGAACAGTTTTTTTTATTAATTTCTATTTTCAAATATAATTATTCAATATTACTAATTAGATAGCCATAATTTCAAGAAAATTTATCATTTAAATGCTTTTATCTTACTTTTAATTATAAGGGTATAAAATAATATCTTGTTCTGTATTAAAATCTATTGTCTTATTTGGATATTTATTATTTTATTTTCTTTGATTTTATGTAGAATATATGAATGTCATGCAATAGCTTAATTCCTTTCTAAATCAAACTCTTAAGTATATCATATATATAATTATATTACTTTATCATAAAATGTAAATGCATTAACATAATGAAACTCCTATTAAATAGAAATTAAAAATAAAACTTTATTCACTAGTTCCCCAAACAATTAGGGTCTAATAGTATTGCTTTACCATAGTTAGTAATTGATCCTTGTATTGTTAAAAGTTATCTATAATTAAATTATAAAATTTTTCTATCTTAATGAATTACATATTAAAATATAAACCTTTATTGAAATAGGCTTATATTGTTTAAGTTCATCAGTAATTAAATCATAAATCATAATATATCCCCTATTTTTGAGATAGTAAAAAATTAACATATTACATGTTTTGTTTGGATTTTTGAACAAAAACATTTCTACTTCAGAAAAACATTTCTTTAATGGTATTTATTATTTGTATGACAATCTCTTGCTCTGAATTTAAATTCAGTTTCTCTAATCCATCCCACTATTGATGATTTTGACAAATCAACAGAATCGCAAAAATTCAATTAATAGTCAATTAAAGAGATCTTAATAAACAGGGAGAAAGTGTGAGTCAATCCTTTTCAAAATAAGAAGTGGAATCAGAAATCAATATTCATTATTAAAGGGTAGATTAATACATTTAAATTCACAATAAATTAATGGGTTCTAGAATTCAATCATCAAATTCATGGAATACAATAATCAATCACAAAAATTATTTCAAAATTAAGAAATTAACTAATTCCTTTAATAATTTATATTAATAAATAAAATTATACATTCTTTAATATATTTATTTAATCTAAATAATAAACATATCATCATTTAATTATTATTAAAATGATGATAAGAATATTAAACTATCTACATATCTACAGATCTCTAAGGTAAAGGTTAATCTATTTATAATAATATGATAGGTTTTCAATTAAATTTGAGAAAGCAATAATTTGGTTAAATTAGTTGATAGTTCAAAGCATGTTGGATTTTTAATAGTGTAAAGCAACATCGTTAATTTGAACACGATGGATTACTTACTTAAGACATTTCAACAATTTAATCAAAATTCAATATAAAACTAAGTGTAACAAATCATAATAAATTCATCATCATAGTGATTAGATAACATTTCACTTAAAATTCAATTACTGTGTCCTTTTTTTTATATTTAATAACTTATTTATACCAAATCTCAGATTTATTTTGAAGTATTCGAATTCTACTTAAGTTTAATTGAATAATTATTATATTATAAAGCTAATCACAATGTAAGTCCTATTGATCCTGATTTTATTTAATTTAATAAAAAAGATGGTTGTGATATTTGTAAAAATAAGCGAGATTTAAATCCAACTTTATAAGCTGGATTGTGTTTTGAAAAAATGAGATATTTGAAAAAACCTAAAGAGATTTCATTTTAAATTAATGTGTATTAATTTCAATTAGAAAAACTTCAAAGAATACCACAGCTTAAGCTGTAGAATGAACAAATTCTTAGAGAAACGTGATGAAAGGGGTTTTATGAATATTAGGTCAAGAAGTGATAATAATTAACAAATATGAGATTTACAATAACATCTGAAAAAGTAAATAATAAAAACTATAATAATGAAATCCAGTTTTAATAAAGAATAAATCGAGAAGGGAGATTTGTTAAGATTAAGATAAAGTAAATATAATCAATCATTTAAATTAATAAAAAACCTATTCAAATTTTCATAATTCCTGAGATCTTCACATCTACCTCAACTCTTTACTCAATAAAGCAGTCAATAATTTTAATGTTAATGCTTTTTTGATTTGGTAAGAATTCTTAGTCCAATCAAAACAATTATTAATAACAATTTTATACAAGCTACAATTATTAAGGTTACATTAACAGATGATTCAGGATCTCTGGTTATCTGGAATATTAATAGGTCTGTCATCTATGGGTGTATCCACCTCTTTCCATTTTTTTACCATTTATATATTCACCTTCATATTTAAATTTAGATTTGAGTAAATAATATCATTAATGTTATTACTTCGAATAGTTTTCAAATAATTCAATTCAAACCCTAGTTTATTAAGCCTTCAAATATATATAATCCATCAGAATCTGTTTCTTATCTTTCCAAAGAGCATTCCATTTTCAAATTATCTTATTATTTACTCCATAATCTCCTTTCTTATTCAAAAATTTCATTCATTTTATCTAAATTTTTTAATATATCTTATTAAAAATTATCATTTATCAGAATTTATATTTTTATTTTTCATTTATTTTTACTTTCGTAAGATAAATCCATCTTTTGCAGATTGACATAAACTGAATGTAACGCAGCTTCAGCCCAATCATGTATGTAGACTTCAAGTAGTAGTTCTGGTACCACTAAATATATGCACATCTAGTAAAGTTGCAGCAAAATTACAGTAATTAGCTTGCGCTTAAAATACTAATTTTTATTGAGCTATTCAAATTAATGTAGAGGTTCAACTTATTATATTTATACTCCTTATCCTAATAATTATATGATTATCCAGGAACTGACAGTGCTTGCAATTGAGATTCTACTGGCACAACAAACAGGATAATGTATTCCAATTACAAAATGTAGTCAAATCACAAACAAAAAAATTTGACAATACTACTAAAATATTTGTTCACTTAGTCTAATCCTAATTAACTACATAACCTCCTTCATGTCAATAACTTACTTTTTCTAATTTCACAACTCCAGCAGCATGCAAATTTGTAGTTACATCTTTTGTGATAGATTAAATATAATAATGTCAATGATATGCAAGAGCTTGTGCTAATTTATTAACATCAAAATAATTGAATTCATCTAACTGCTCAGATAATACAGGATTCACTTAGAGATGGTATTTTGCATCCAACATCAGCAAAAAAGTTTATTGTAAAGTGGAAAATTAGGTTTACTTTATAAATACTATGTAAAATATTTTTTCCTTATTATTATTTAAATAATTTTTCTAATTATCGGTCATAATAAATGTGCTTTATATACTTTATATGTGCCAGGATAATGTGGATGTAACAAAATATTATTAAATTCTTTAACAATCAATTTGTAGGATCAACCCTACATTATAATGTTGGTCATTCACCTAATATTCTGATATTTCAGATATAAACCCTGGAGAATAATCATTCTGAACCTTAATTAATAAAAACAAGAAAATCAAATAAATTATAGGATATTTTCCTAATTTATAAAGTGTAGCTGTTATTGGAAGATAGAAATGTAAACTTTGATATTTAATAATGAATTTATATAATACAATATGAATGAGAAAACTTTTAGTTAATTTCTTCCTGGATGGGTTCAATAAGATGTATTAATACTCAAATAAACACTAAGAAATAGTTAACATTGTGTAAGATTTTTTTATTCATTTACAATATAGAAATAGATTACAGAGAGAACAAAATATATTGGTTATAAAATTGATTAAGGTGTTTAGTTGAGAAATAGCTATGATTCAGAAATAATTGAAGAAAATTAATTAATTACATGATAGTATTTAAATATATGTTCATTATGTATATTATAAGATTAATTATGTATGAAAGCTTTTATTATAATTTTTCAAGATATATTGAAATTGAATTTTATAGATAAATTTACTTTTAATAATATTAATTTTGAAACATTTTATTTTTTTAAGATGACAATGATTTAATTAGAATTACAATACATAAGAATAGAATATCAATATGATAATTTTGAGAAGTATGAGAGAAAAGAAATTATGCATAGAAATATTAATATAAAAATAAAAAGGCATTTCCAATAAACTAGATTTTATGTTTTTGATAATAGTATTCAAACATCTAAATACTTTTTGTTTAATTTTTTTCCAAAATAATTATTAAAATGGTTCCAGAAGTCTCAATAAATTCTGGAACTCCAACAATATATTTATCATTAGATGTTATTATTTTAGTTAGTGGAGCAAAGGATTTCTATGAAGATTATAAGAGAAGAAAATCAGATAAAAAAGAAATAATAAGTTACAGCATTTGATTGAACAATAGTTTTTTTTTTAAATAACCTCTTTTAATTTAAGAGCCGATCACACTCTGAAAGTTCATTAGGATGAGATAATATAAGCATATATTTTATTTCTAAGATCAATTAAAAAGGAAGGAATTTTTTATGTAGAAACAAAATTATTAGATGGGAAATAAATTTAAAATAAAAAGATGTACATGCTGATTATATAGACTTAAAATATTAAAATCCTACTCCATATTTATTAAAGTTTATAAGAGAAACAACAACATTTAATCTCTAAGTTTCATCAATAAATTTAAATAAATTTTTATTAAGAGAATGTAATTTAACAAATGGAAAAATATATTTTTTTTTAGATAATGATGATAAGGCAAGAACAAAAAGAAGTAAATTAGAAGTTTTAATGTAAAAATTTATGTTTATGATATTGATCATACAATTTATAATGTATGTAATTGCACCTCTTGTCTTTTCGATTTAATATTATAATAATTAATGACATAAACTTATCTATAGATAGAGTTAATACAGCAGAATATATTATTCCATAACTTTTTTGTAAGATTTTGAAAATTGGGTGCTTATGTTTAATAATTTTTTATCTTTTTCTTTATTTGTTACTTTAGAAATATCTTTATTTTTTACTTTAGAAATAATTAAATTTATTAAGATAAAAATCATGTGATCCATAAAAAATATTAGAATGTTTAATGCTGTGTCTCCAGATTAATTAGCATTATTAAATTTAACTAAGTTTTTAGATTTAATTTTTTAGGAAATGATGAAAGAGTAAGTTTTTAAGATTAAATAATTGAATATTGATTATAAGAAATATTTGAATTTACTACTTAAAGAAAGAGATAATCAATTTTAGTATAAGTTATAAAAGACTGGAGAAAAATATTTATTTTCTAGAGGAGCAGACTCTATTTTATTAGATTATGAAAGATTATATAATGAATAATTAAATAAAAATGAATATCATTAGTTAAAATAAAGACTATATAAATATGGTAAAATAGGTTTGAGAACTTTAGTATTGTCTAAAAAAAATTAGAAAAATAAGAATTTTAGGAATGGCATAAGATTTGTTAATAAGCACTATAATTCATAGAAAATAGAGAGGAGATAATGTAGATTTTGTAAGATGAATTAGAAAAAATTATGAAATTTTAGGAACAACTGCTATAGAATTTAAATTATAATAGACTATAGCACATACAATTGTTGTTATGAAAGCAGCTGGTATTAACTAATGGGTTTTGACAGGAGATAAATTTAATAATGATTATTCTTATTCTTTATTAACT